AGGATCTACTGATTTGAAGCATTATCCCTTGACAGCAAATAATATCGTTTTGTCAGCTGATAGCAAAGAATATGTATGTTTATACTAACTCACACATATGTACATATGTATAAATATTTCCATACTTATCCACGTTTATCTATATCAAGTTAAACGTGAATTTCTACTGTCTCTAGGTTCACATCAGTGGAATCCAGGAAAACATGAATCTATAATACCTCCCCTTTCCCAGCACCTTACCTGACCTCCCACTCTAACAGTGAGGAAGTTGGCCTCCTTCAATTAATTATTGACTCTCAAAATACATGCATAGTGGTTACAGAATTGGTCATCTCTACTCCCATGGGAAATAAATTTAATAACTGAAGTATAGTGCTTTTATTCAAATCCCTTGGCCTTTAGGCTTAGAATTTATCCTTACTGACTAAGTTTTTAAAAGGAGTCAGTCCCCTTTTAGTCTACACATTCCACTGAAGTTATTTCTTATACTGTTAGATTATTTTGTCTGAATTGCTCCCCGGGGTCTCCAAGCATACTAAGCAATGCGTAATGCCTTATTTAATGACGATTCAGTGTATACATTTAGGTTTACTCTTTGTGATACTAAGTTCTAGATGATTTGAAAAATGATTATTAAGACATCCTTATGGTATCATAGAAAAGAATTTGGCTTCACAAAATCTTCCCCATTTCCCCTATTTATTGAGCCTTCCTCTGTTCCAAGCCCCTCATAGCCACTAATCTTTTTCATTTGCCATAATTTTACCTTTTCACCATGTTGTATAAATGGAATTACACAGTAAATAGTTTTTTCAAACTAGTTTTTTTCTTTTCTTTTCTTTTCTTTTTTCTTTGAGATGGAGTTTCGCTCCTGTTGTCCAGTCTGGAGTGCAATAGCGTGATCTTGGCTCACCACAACCTCCACCTCCCAGGTTGAAGTGATTCTCCTGTCTCAGCCTCCTGAGTAGCTGGGATTACAGGCATACACCACCACGCCTGGCTAATTTTGTATTTTTAGTAGAGACAGGGTTTCTCCATGTTGATCAGGCTGGTCTCGAACTCCCGACCTCAGGTGATCCACCTGTCTTGAACTCCCAAAGTGCTGGGATTATAGGCATGAGCCACCGTGCCCGGCCCAAACTAGCTTTTTTCAATCATGAATATGCCCTTAAGATTTGTGAAGCGTGGACAGACATGGTGGCTCATACCTGTAATCCCAGCACTTTGAGAAACTGAGGCAAGAGAATTGCTTGAAGCCATGATTTTTAGACCAGCCTGGGCAGCAAGGTGACAGCCTGCCTCTAAAATTAAAAAAAAAAAAAAAAAAAATTAAGCTGGGTGTGGTGGCCTATGCCTGTAGTCCTAGCTACTTGAGAGGCTGAGGTAGGAAGATCCCTGGGGCCCAGGAGTTCAAGCTTACAGTGAGCTATGATTATACCACTACACTCCAAACCACTGGGCTATAGCAGAGCAGGGAGACCAAGAGATGCCCCCCAAAAAAGAAAAAAAATATATATATAAAAAGCATATCTCATGATGGTTTAGATTTGCATTTCACTACGGACTAAAAGTGCTAAACATATTTTTAGGCCTTTAATGGACATTTCTATAGTCATTTGGAGAAATGTCTATTCACACAGTTTACTCACTATTTTTTTTCTTTTTTTTGAGATGGAGTCTTGCTCTGTTGCCCAGGCTGGAGTGCAGTGGCAGGATCTCGGCTCACTGCAACCTCTGCCTCCCTGGTTCAAGTGATTCTCCTGCCTCAGCCTCCTGAGTAGCTGGGATTACAGGCGTGAACCACCACACCCAGTTAATTTTGTATTTTTAGTAGAGACAGGGTTTCATCATGTTGGTCAGGCTGGTCTCCAGCTCCTGACCTCGTGATCCACCCGCCTCAGCCTCCCAAAGAGCTGGGATTACAGGTGTGAGCCACCACACTCACTTGTCATTATTATGTTTGTCTTTTTATTTTTGAGTTGTATGAGTGATCCATATTGTCTGGATAATAGTCCTCTGTCAGCTCTGTGATTTGGAAATATTTTCTTACTTTCTTGGATTGTCTCAGTGGTGTACTTTGAATCACATAAGTTAATTCTGATGAAATCTATTTTATCCAGTGTTTTCTTTTGTCACTTGTATTTTGGTGTCATATTTTAGAATTGATTGTTTCACCTAAGGTAAAGACGTTTCTTTTTTGGGATTTTTAGTTTTAGCATTTATATTTGGTCAATGTTTGATTTTGAGTCAATGACATATATGGTATAAGACAGTTCAGTTTGCCTGTGGATACCACTTGTCCCAGAAAATTCATTGCAAAAAGTGTTTTTCCATATTGAATTGTCTTGGCAAGATTTTAAAATTAATTTACCATGTATGTAAAGATTAATTGGAGGCACTCAACTCAATTCCATTAACACATATGTCGGTCCTCATATTGGTACTACAATGTCTTGATTACTATCAGTTTGCAGTACATTTTGAAATTTGGAAGTGTGACTCCAATACTCCAAAATTATTTTTTCAAGATTTTTTTGGCTCTTCTGGAGTACTTTGATTTCCACAGGAATTTTAGAATCAGCTTGCCAATTACTGCAAAAAAATGGAAAAAAAAGTTTCTGGATTTCATTTTTTTGAATTGTTAGTACATAGAAATATAGTTGATTTCAAAGTTTACTTTGTGTACTGCAATGTTACTGAACTCTTTTTTGGTTATAATCTTATTTTGGTGGATATGTCAGGATTTTCTATACATGAGGTCCTGTCATTTGCAAATATAAACAGTTTGACTTTAAGTATCTTTTATTTATTTTCTAGCCTAATTACCCTGGCTACATCCTCCTATATAATGTTGAATAGAAGTGGCAAAAGTGGACATCATTGTCACGTTTCTAATCTTGGGGAAATTACTGAGACTTTCATGATACCTTATGTTATGTGAGCTTTTAATGGATGCCCTTTCTAGGTTGAGAAAGTTCCCTTCTATCCCTAATTTGTTCAGAGTTTTTTATCATGAATAGGTTGTGGGTTTATCGAATGCTTATTCTGCATCTTTTGCAATAATAATACGGATTTTGTCCTTTATCTTATTAATACAATGTCTTACACCTATTGCTTTTGTATGTTTAACCAAACTGACATTCCAGTGATAAATATCCTTGGTCATAGTGTATAATCCTTTTCATATGTTGCTGGTATGTTTTGATAGTATTTCTTTGAGAATTTTTTGCCTCTGTTTCATGAGGCATATTGGTCTATAATTGTCCTATCCTCAAATATATTTGTTCTATTGTGGGATCAGGGTAACTGGCCTCGTAGAGTAGATCAGCAAGTTTTGTCTTCTCTGTTTTTTCTTCTTGGAGGAAGAGTTAGTAAAGGATTGTTATTCATTCTTAACAGATTTAGAGTAATTCACCAGTCATCTCGCCCTAGACAGGAATTGAATTCTAACAAGAATTACATGAGCTTGGAAGGGAATCCTTCCCTAGGTGAGTCTTCAGTTGAAACCTCAGCCTGAGTCATGTGACCCTGAAAAACCATAGGTATTACATTTATGAGGTTCTGAGTCACTAAGGTTTGAGGTAACTTGTTATGCAGTAATAAATAACTAATATACCTGTGAGTAACTTGAATGTGTTATACTAGATTGGATCATACAATAGAAAAAAGATATTAGTGGAAAACCTAGTACAATATGAAGAAAGCCTGTATTTGTTACTAGTTTTGTACCACTGTCAATTTCTGAGTTTTCATAAACATACTATGGCTAAGTAAGGTATAAACATTACAGAAGGCTGGAAGGTATGTGAGACACTCTGTACTATAATTGTGTTTGTTTTCTTCTTTTGAGTCAGAGTCTCACTCTGTCGCCCAGGCTGGAGTGCAGTGGCACGATCTCAGCACACTGCAAGCTCCACCTCGCGGGTTCACACCATTCTCCTACTTCAGCCTCTTGAGTAGCTGGGACTACAGGCTCCCGCCACCACACCCAGCTAATTTTTTGTATTTTCAGTGAGTTTCACTGTGTTAGCCAGGATGGTTTCGATCTTCTGACCTTGTGATCTGCCCACTGCAGCCTCTCAAAGTGTTGGGATTAGAGGCGTGAGCCACCGCACCTGGCCTTTCTTGTTTTTTTCCTTTGAGACAGAGTCTCACTCTGTCACCCAGGCTGGAGTGCCACGGCATGACCTCGGCTTACTGTGACCTCCAACTCCCAGGTTCAAGTGCTGCTTCTGTCTCAGCCCCCCGAGTAGTTGGGGTTACAGTCATAAGCCACCGTGCCAGGCTAACTTTTTTGCTTTTTAATTTTTAGTAGAGACGAGGTTTCACCATGTTGGCCAGGCTGGTCCTGAACTCCTGACCTCATGATCCACACACCTTGGCCTCCCAAAGTGCTTGGATTACAGGTGTGAGCCATGCCTGGCCTATTTTTGCATTTTTCTATACATCTAAAATTATTTCAAAATAAAAACATTTTAAAATGTATTTGCTCCACAAAAAAAACCCCCACAAAACAAAACAAACAATAACAACAAAAAACTTTGATCAGAGGATGAACAGAGATGTTGGGAGAGAATGGCAAAGCAGTTCGCCTATTATCCATCGTTCCAAACCCAGATGAAGAAGACCCCCACAATCACTAGGGACTCCCCTCAATTTTCTCCCTTCCTGTAAAACTCCCCATTACACAGTCACCATTTTGTGTGTCACTAACTACTTCTTTAAAGATGGTGGCCTGTGCCTCCCACACCTCATAAAGCCCCATTTTCAGACATTGGCAGTGTATCTGTTGGATCCACTAAAGAGTTTTTAAAAGATGGCTTCCAGACACTAGAAGCTATCATAATATTGAGAAATATAAGTGACAGGGAACATACATCACAATTCTGCATTCAGGGGTGTTTTCTTGGTGCTGGGATTCCTTTTTCAAGTTTTAAAAGAGAAATGTATCTTCACGTCTTTGAGAAACACCTTGGTTAATTAAACTTTTTCTTCTACAGACCCAGTCATGAATTCTTTGGGACCATGCACTCCGTTGAGACTTACCTTATGGTTTTCTGTTGAACAGTGCCAAGTCCAAAAGCCACAGGTTAAATATCATAGTGGTAGCAGGTAAGTAGAGCATATACATAACAACAATAATAACAACAACGAGCTTTAATAAACATGGGGGTTTAGACCAGCCTCTGCTTATATAGATCAGGAAAAGAAATCTTTGGCCGGCTGTGGTGTCTCATGCCTGTAATCCCAGCACTTTGGGAGGCCCAGGCAGGAGATCACTTAAGCTCCAGAGTTCAAGACCAGCTTGGGCAACATAGCGAGACCCCATCTCTACTAAAAATACAAAAAAAAGTAGCTAGGTGTGGTGGTGTGCGCCTGTGGTCCCAGCTGCTCAAGATGCTGAGGTGGGAGCCCACTTGAGCCCAGAGGGCAGGGGCTGCATTGAGCCAAGATCATGCCACTGCATTCCAGCCTGGGTGACAGAGTGAGACCTTGTCTAAGAACAAGAAAATGAAAAGGGAAAGAAACTTTAAAAACCAGGTCCACTTATGCCATGCACAGCTCCCTGTTCTCAGACCTCAGCAGTCTGCTGGGTAGCACCAGGGCTGTGTGCAGGAACCATGCCTACAAAGCGCACAAAGCCATAGGAGTACATGCTGCACTCCCACGGAAATCCACAAGGTCAAGGCTCTTGCTTCTATTGTCCATAATCTGGACAATATTCTCCACACTGCAGTTATAGCTTCAATGAGAAAATGAGCTTCTTCTGCAGCCTGCAGACCTGGAGTGAGAAGATAGAGCAGACCTGGGCCACATATCTCACTACTGAGGTTAGGATAGCAGATATTTAGGTGCTGTTATAATGAACATTTGTGTTTCAAGAATCCTTCTCACTCTTCCAAGCTTATATTTTATTCCATGAATAAGGATAGTTTCCTTTAAACTGATAATCTTAAAACATGGAGGGTTATTCTATTAATCGTAACAGGAGTTCCTGTACACTAAGTGACTTGTAAAGTGCATTTCCTCTTCATTTTGATGTATACATTATAGTCTATTATGATGTATACTGTGAATAACATCCCTCACCAAAATCTTCGGGGGAAAAAAGGTAGAATGGCAGACCATAAAGGAGACCCAAGAGGATATGGACAAGGAGTGATCCATCTCAAAATGGCAAGAGTGACAATGAGCTCTATGTGCTGAGAGTTACGAGAAAATAGATTTCAGACACAAAACTGTATTAACATGGTATCACCAGCACAGATAGCACAATGCTGAGGACTGAGTTCCCAAACATGACTCTGATAGCATGGAAGATGTGATTTCTCACAACCTGTATAACAAACTATTACCAGATTTCGCTTAGGCTGCCCTGCCTACAAGAGCTCTTAGAAAGATGCCACTGAAAAGGTCTAAAGTCTCAGATGTTATCAGGAAGCAAGGATCCAACACTGTCTCCACCCTCTATTCTGAATAGAAAAGAGTTGTCAATGGATGCATAGCTTCTGATTTTGGGATCAAAACTTGTTGTTAACTTAATTGAGCCTTCCTAGAATTTGAAAATTTTAGTGCCAATAAACTCAACATCCTAAATTATAAATTATGTTAATTTCTTCTTCATTAAACATACTCTTTAGGCAGCACCAAAGCCCATTCCATTTCTAAGTACCTAAAAGTAAAGTTGACCAGAGCAACAAGTGGTCAGAGAAGAACATTTTGTGAAAACTATAATGCATCTGCATCTGCAGTGACTATTCATAAAGTTATTATTGGTGTGAGCATCATTCTTGTGATTGGAAAGATGAATGGTGATGTAGTGTGGATTTGTATTCCCGCTCAAATCTCATGTTGAAATGTAATCCCCAGTGTTGAAGGTGAGGCCTAGTAGGAGGTGACTGGATCGTGGAGGAAGTTTCTCATGAGTGGTTTAGCACCGTTCTCCTTGGTACTGTTGTCACGATAGTGAGTTCTCACGAGATCTGGTTGTTTAAAAGTGTGTGGCAGTTCCCAGCCTCTGTCTTGCTCCTTCTCTGTCTATGTGTTGTGCCTGCTTCTCCTTCACCTTCAGTCATGATTGTAAGTGTTTTGAAGCCCTCCCCAGAAGCTGAGCAGATGCCAGCATCATGCTTCCTGTGCAGCCTTACAGAATTGTGAGCCAATTAAACCTCTTTCCTTTATAAATTGCATAATCTCAGTTTTTGTTTGTTTGTTTGTTTTTTTTTTTAGATGGAGTCTAGCTCTGTCGCCCAGGGTGGAGTGCAGTGGTGCAATCTTGGCTCACTGCAACCTCCACCTCCTAGGTTCACGTGATTCTCCTGCCTCAGCCTCCTGAGTAGCTGGAATTACAGGCACCTGCCACCACGCCTAGTTAATTTTTGTATTTTTAATAGAGATAGGGTTTCACCATGTTGGTCAGGCTGGTCTCAAACTCCTGACCTCATGATCTGTCCACCTCAGCCTCCCAAGGTGCTGGGATTACAGGTATGAGCCACTGCACCCGGCTAGTATTTTTTTTTTATAGCAATGTAAGAACAGACTAACACAAATGGAAAATATAAATATATAATCATTCTGGATTGAAGAATTAGATTTGCAGTGCAGCTGATGGAGAATATTGCTCATAATGTCTAAGATTAGGGCATACATTTTCAAGATACAGATGTTTCTGTCTTCAGAGAATGTCAGTCAAGTGAAAACTTTGAGGTAACTCTTTACTATTTCTATCTTCCTTCTCAACCAGCATTATGAACCATTTTCTACAAAGTTACCTTTCCACATATGTTGTATCTTTTTTATCTAGAGTTTACTCTTTTTGTTTTTGAGACTGAGTCTTGCTCTGGTGCCCAGGCTGGAGTGCAGTGGCACAATCTAGGCTCACCGCAACCTCCACCTCCCAGGTTCAAGCCATTCTCTCACCTCTCCTTCCCAAGTAGCTTGGACTACAGGCATGTGCCACCATGCCCAGCTAATTTTTGTATTTTAGTGGAGACGGGGTTTCACCATGTTGGCCAGGCTGGTCTCAAACTCCTGACCTCAAGTGATCCGCCCGCCTCAGCCTCCCAAAGTGCTGGGATTACAGGCATGAGCCACTGCGCCTGGCTTGTAGTTTACTCTTGAGTTCTGTCTCTCTACATAGCTATAAAGTATAGCCTTACCAAATGAGATTCCAGAAGATTAACTCCTTGTTGTCTACAATGTCTACATTTCGTGGGATACTTCTTTATCCTGGTGTATTTCCTAATATCTAAATGTCCTACGTGTCACCAGGTGTCCTTCTCACAGGAAACTTGTTTATACTAGCACATGCCTTTGAAGCTCTTATCTGACCTATGTAGAGTTTACTTCTACCAAGGTAGTCCCAGGTACTTAGGAGGCTGAGGTAGGAAGATCGCTTGACCCCGGAGGTTGAGGCTACAGTGAGCTGTGATCATGCCACTGCCTGCTAGCCTGGGTGGTAGAGTGAGACCCAATCTAAATAAATAAATAAATACAATGAAATCAAGTTTTGAAAATTATGATTAGTTTTATATGTACAAAACAGTGCCAAATACAGTACAAAAGTTCTTGTATTCTATTCCACACACAGAATTTCCTATATTATTAACCCCTTATATTAGTGTAGGGCATTTATCACAATGAACCAACCAGTATTATACATTATCACTAACTGCTACCCATGCTTTGTTCATATTTCGTTGTTGCACTTCATGTCCAGTTTCTATTTCAAGATCCCATCTAGTGTACCACGTCACAATTAGATCTCATGTAGGCTTTTTTGACTGTGGTAGTTTCCAGGAGTTTTTTCATTTCTGATGACATGAGCGTTCTCGATTTGGGATTACTCTGATGTTTTTCACAAGATTTTGGTGGATTTTGGATTTTGGTGTAGAAGACCACAGAGAAAAGAAAAATGCCTTTCTCATTACATGATATCAAGGGTATATACTAAAAACACACTTTATCACTGTTGATGTTCATTTGATCACCTGGATGAGATAGTTGATATAAAATTTCTCCACTGTAAATTACCTTTCCTCATTTTCCATGTTATATATATCAAAAAAGTTACTAATAAGAAATGGGGAGTCTTGCTCCATCTCCCAACAGGCAGAATATCTACGAAAATTATTTTCAGTCTTTCACCATTTGTGTGTCTGTTTTTTTCCTTTTGTATTTATTAAATCACTTAGTTCTATAAGTAAGCAAATGTGTGTATTTATTTTACACTTTACTTGTATTTGTTTATTTATTTTTGAGATGGAGTCTTGCTCTGTTGCCAGGCTAGAGTGCATTGACACGATCTCAACTCACTACAACCTCTGCCTCCTGGGTTCAGGCAACTCTCCTGCCTCAGCCTCCCTAGTAGCTTGGATTACAGGCACGTGCCACCACGCCCAGCTGATTTTTGTATTTTTAGTAGAGACGGGGTTTCACCATGTTGGCCAGGATGGTCTTGATCTCTTGACCTTGTGATCTACCCGCCGCAGCCTCTCAAAGTGCTGGAATTACAGGCATGAGTGACCGTGCCTGGTCTCCTTCGTTTATTTTATTGCTCAAATTGTTCTACTGTTGATCATTCAAAGGTCTTTTGGTTGATCCTCTATCATTTTGAAATACTCTGGTAATTACAGTTTGATGTTGTGTGATTGGCTGGTTGGTTTTATTGTTGATTAGCATATTCTTTTCTGGCACTGCATGGTGCTCCAGGCTACTTGTGTTTTGATTCCTTGCCAAAGCCTAGTATGCATCGTGTCTTCAGGAAGCCCTAGTTCCTTTTATTGGAAAATAGAATTTGAAACAAAGATTGGGGCACCAGGTCCACTCACTGCTACTGGGGCATCCATTGATTCGAAGCCTTGCCAGGTGACAGAGAAAATAAATATATCTCTATATATTGACACATAAATGTATACATATCTCTAAATATAGCAATATATGTCCATATGCATCTATATTGAATTAAACATGAATTCCTACTAATGCTCCATTACCACATAATCTAAATTATTAGCAGATGAATCAGTTTGCCTATTCCCACTTATTTGTATGTAACCTGCCATTCCAACAGTGAGACAGTTGGCTTTGTTAACAGTTTTACATTCTGAAAAGACTTGCATAGTGTTTCCAGAATTGGTAATCCATATGCCCAGGAGAAATGACTTTTACCAACTTCGGTTTTTAGACTTAGACTCTCCCCTCATTTTTAAAGTTACTTAGGCCATTCCCCCTTCCTGCCATTCCCTTTAGTGAAATAACTTACACCTTTGTAATACCGTTACATTATTTTGTGTATTTCTTTTTGGGGTCCCCCAGCCTACTAAATAATGTTTTAAATTTGCATGCTTTTAGATTATTCCTTTCTGTTGTAAAATTCTATAGGATTTCAAAAACACTATTATGTGTCCATCACTATAACATCACACAGAATAATTACACTGCCCCGTAGAAGACCCCTGTAATTCATATCACCCTTCCTCTATCCCAAGCCCCTTGTAACCAACAATCTTTTTACTACCTTTATACATTTGTCTTTTCCAGAGTGTTCTGTAAATGGAATTACACAGTATTTTGCCTTTTCCAACTTACCTTTTTCACTTAACAATACACATTTTAGATTGGTGAAATATAACTCCATCATTGTTTAAATATTCATTACCCTAATAACAAAGGAGTTGAGCAAATCTTCATGTCTTTCTTATAGAGTTTTTGGAGAAATGTACATTTAAGTAATTGGCCATTTTTAACTTAGATATTTGCCTTTTTATTATTTAGTTAAAACACGCTTTTATATATACTGAATAGTAGATCCTTATGTGGCTAGCAAAAATTTTCTCCCTTCTTTGGTTTGTCTTTTTACTTTTTGATACACTTTGAATCACAGATTTTAATTCTGATGAAGACCAATATATCTCTTTTTTATTCTGTCACTTATGCATTATCTGTTGCACCTTAGAAAATATTGCTTAATAATCTAATGTCATGAAAACATACTTCTGTTATCTTCTATGGTTTTGGCCTATCTAGCACTTATATTTAGATATATGATGAATTGGAATCAATCATGTATATGGTGTGAGAGAGGAGTTTAACTTGCATGTCGATATTCACTTGTCCCAGCAACATTTGTTAAAACATATTTATGGTTTTTTTCTTATTGAATTGACTTGACAAACTTGAAAATCAGTTGATCATGAAAGGTAAGTGTTAATTTTTGGACACTCAATTTTATTGTATTGATGTATATGTCTATCTTTATACTAGTGCCACAAATCTTTTTTTTCCTTTTACTTTTTCTTTTTCTTTGTTTTGAGAAGGGTCCTTGGCATTCTCTCACAACCCCAGGCCCCAGCGTAACATGGGGGCATGTATCCCCCAATGGCCCTTTCACTGGCAGCCCTCCCCCCCAATTCCCCCTGGCTCAAGAAGATCCTCCTACCTCAAAAGCCCTCCCGAAAGGTATTCGAAGGAACCCGACTTCAGTTGGGTGGGCCCACCCAAAGGCCTGGCTTAAGTTTTTTAAAAAACGTTTTCTTCTTCCTTTTTTTTTTTTTTTTTTTTTTTTTTTGAGATGGAGTCCTTGCTCCTGGTAAGCCCCCGGGCCGGAGTGCAGTGGGCGCCCCAGATTTCTCCAAAAGCTTCACTGCCCAAAGGCTCCCGCTCCCCGGGGGTTTGCCGCCCATTTCCTGGGGCCCCTTCAGCCGGCTGGAAGGTAACCTGGGGAAAACCTGACAGCGGCCGCGCCGCACCACCCCGCCCCCGGCAAGTTTTTTTTTTTTTGTTATTTAGGTAAAACGGGGGGTTTTTTTTCCCGGTCGTTTTAAGCCCAGGAGGGTCCTCCTGAACGTCTCCCTGACCTCGGGTGAAATCCGCCCCGTCTCGGCTCGCCAAAAGTGGCTGGGATAAACACGGCGTGGAAACCCACCCGCGCACCGGCCTCCTACAGTTCCCTTTTTTTTTTGTTTTTGATGACAGAGTCTCGCTCTGTCACCCAGGCTGGAATGCAGTGGCGTGATCTTGGCTCACTACGAACTCTGCCTCCTGGGTTCAAACAATTCTCATGCCTCAGCCTCCCGAGTAGCTGGGATTATAGTCATGCACCACTACACCAGGCTAATTTTGTATTTTTAGTAGATATGGGGTTTCACCATGTTGGCCAGGCTGGTCTCGAACTCCTGATCTCAGGTGATCTGCCCTCCTCAGCCTCCCAAAGTGTTAGGATTACAGGCGTGCCACTGCGCCTGGCCAAAAGCTTTTTTGTAGAAAAGAATCTCGCTGTGTTGCACAGCCTGATCTCAAACTCTTGGCCTCCAGCAGTCTTCCTGCCTCAGCCTCCTGAGTAGCTGTGATTACAGGGACAAGCCACTGCACCCAGCCAGTACCACAAAACTTTATTACTATTGCCTTGTAGTCATTTTGCAATCAGTAAGTGTGCATTTGCTGTGCAGACTTTATTGCTCTTTGTCAAGATTAATTTCTTTGTTCTGGATCTATTCCATTTACATATCAGTTTTATAATCAACATGCAAATTTAAGCAAAATTTCATCTGGAATTTTGATGGGGACTGCATTAAATCTGTAGATCCGTTTGGAAAATAGTGCCATCTTAGCAATATTAAGCCTTTCAATCAGTGATAAAATGCCTTTTCATTTATTTAGGACTTAATTATTTTTCTTCAGTAAGTTTTATAGTTTTCAGTGTACATATCTAACAATGGCTAGTGTGTAAAAATGAAATTTATTTCTCTATTTTGACCTTGTTTACTGCAGCCTTGATGAACTCATTTTTTATTTCTAATTATATTTCATTAGAATTCTTAGAATTTTCCGTACTCAACACCATGTCATTTGCAAAGTTGACTTTCTTTCCAAATCAGATTCTTCGTATTTATTTTTCTAGCCTATTTGTCCTTACTGTACCCTCCAGTGAAATGTTAAAAATAGAAGTGGCAAGAGTGGACAACTTTCAAGTAAATTATGATGTCATGCGAGTTATTCGTGATTATCTTTAAGGTGAAGAAAGTTCCCTTCTCTGCCTAACTTGCTACATGTTTTTATCATAAGTTGATTTGGCATTGAGCAAGTGTTTATTCTTCATTTTTGAGATAATCATGTGGATTTTCTCCTTTATTTTATTAGTATAGTTCATGAGTACTAATTTATTTTGTATGTTAAACCAAATTTGTGTTACCAATGTAAACATCCTTGGTCATACTGTATAATTCTTTTTTTTTTTTTTTTGAGATGGAGTCTTGCCCTGTCGCCCAGGCTGGAGGGCAGTGATGTGATCTCAGCTTACTGCAAGTTCTGCCTCCTGGGTTCACACCATTCTCCTGCCTCAGCATCCCGAGTAGCTGGGACTATAGGCGCCCACCACCACGCCTGGCTAATTTTTTGTATTTTTAGTAGAGACAGGGTTTCACTGTGTTAGCCAGGATGGTCTCGATCTCCTGACCTCGTGATCGGCCTGCCTTGGCCTCCCAAAATGCTGGGATTACAGGCATGAGCCACCGTGCCTGGCCTGTATAATTCCTTTTACGTGTTACTGATTTGTTTTCCTCATATTTTAACATCTGTATTCATAATACATATCCATTTATAATATTCCCTTGAAATACCTTTGTTACATTTCTATTCAAGATCAGGGTAGACTGTCTCATGAAATACATTGTGAAGTGCTGTCTTCTCCACGTTATTTGTGTCATTTTTAATTTTTTTGAACTATTGGTAATAGATTGGTATTCATTTTTTAAAAGGTTTGTACATATGCACCAGTGAATCCTAACAACAAACACATGAGCTTGGAAGGAGATTCTTTTCCAACTGAGCCTTTGGTTGAGAGCCCAGCCCTGGCCATCAGCTAATCTGGATTCCTGACCCAAAGAAACTGTGAGTAATATATGTGTGATTTTGAGGGAGTAATTATGTGGTAATTTGTTATGCAGAAACTAATAAGTAGTATACCAGATAGTAAATGTAACGTGGCATCCTGGATTAGATCCTAGAACCAAAGAATGACATTACTGCAAAGCCTAGCAAAATATGATAGAAGCCTGTACTTCAGTTAAAATTTTAGTACTACCTACAACTTTGTTTTCCTATGTTTACTATAGTTATATTAGATATTGTCATTCCAGATATCTGAAAGACGTATAAAACTCTCTGTACTATCTATGAATATTTCTGTATATCTAAAATTGTTTCAAATAGTAAAATGTGTAGATATTATTTGGCACAAAGAACACAAACCATAAACAATAACCTGATGCACAGGAAATGAATGGATGTGAGGGAGGGAAGAGCATCCCGTCATTCTGAACACAGGTTGCTTCAGGAAGACAACCTCGAGCTCCAGGGACTCTAGTCATCTTTCTTCGTTGCCATCAGACTGCCTACTCCCCACTCACCAATTTGAGTGTCAGTAACCACATCTTCAAAGATAGATGCTTGTGCCTCACATATCCTAGAAAGCCTCACTTTCAGACTCTATTTTGAAGTGAATCTGCAGGATCCACTAAAAACTTATTGAAAGACATGACTGCAGGATGTTAGAATCCAATATTAAGAAATGTCAGTGGCCAGGTGTGGTGGCTCACGCCTGTAATCCCAGTACTTTGGGAGGCCGAGGTGGGCAGATCATGAGGTCAGGAGATTGACACCATCCTGGCTAACACAGTGAAACCCTGTCTCTACTAAAAATGCAAAAAATTAGCTGGGCATGGTGATGGGCGCCTGTACTCCCAGCTACTTGGGAGGCTGAGGCAGGAGAATGATGTGAACCTGGGAGGCGAAGCTTGTAGTGAGCGGAGATCGCGCCACTGCACTCCAGCCTGGGCAACAGAGCAAGACTCCGTCTCAAAAAAGGGAATATGTCAGTGCTGGGAAATATAAACTGTATTTCTGAATTTAGGAGAGTGTTTTTTCTGTGTACAAGTATTCTTTGTTACATGCTCAAAAGACAGTTATACTTTCAAGTCTTTGAGAAAACTCTGTGAAAATTGTTATTTTCACTTTACAGACTGAATCATGAATTATTTGGGACCCTGTAGCCTGTTGACATTGATATCATGGAATTATATTGTCCCTTGCCAAACCCAAAAGTCACAAAGTAGATATTATCATGGTCGCAGGTGAGCTGGCTACAACAACAACAAAAAATTATAAATATGCTAATTTAGGCCAGTCCCTGCTTACAAAGACCTATATATGAATCTCTATACACAAGGGTTTTGGCAGGTGAAGTCATGTGTTGATATGGTCAGGCTTTGTGTCCCTACCCAAATCTCATCTTGAATTGTAATCCTCAGGTGTTTAGGGAGAGACCAGGTGGGAAGTGATTGGATTATGGGGGCGGTTCCCCCATGCTGTTCTCATGAGAGTGAATTCTCAAGAGATCTGATGGTTTTATAATCAGTCGTTTTTCCTTCCCTGACACACGCTTGCTTGTGCTCTCTCTTTCTTTCTGTTTCTCTGTCTCTCTCTCCCCCGCTCCCCGTCCCTGCCTCACTCACCTGCCACCGTGTAAGATGTACCTGCTTCCCCTTCCACGATGATTGTAAATTTCTGGAGGCCTCCCCAGCCATGTGGAGCTATGAGTCAGTTAAACCTCTTTTTTTAGTTAATTAATTAATTTATTAATTTATTTATTTTTATAAATTACCCAGTCTCAGGTAGGTCTTTATAGCAGTTTGAAAAGAGACTAATACATATGTGTTGTATACAAGTGGAGAAAAAGAGATAGACAAAACAAAAGAACAAGCCGTATACAACATACACTCAATCCTCCATGCCGTGTTCCAAGAGATGGAGACAGGCTGAATGAGGATTGTGCATATGTGCTGGCTAAAGAAAGAATCCCACTGCAGGGAGGACTGTCCACTGACCTGCCACCAACAGCTCCCAATTCACGGACCGCAGCAATCCGATTGGCAGCACCAGGTAGTGTCCAGGAAACATACCTAAAAAGCCTGCAAAGCCGTGTGAATGCGTACTGCACTCCATAGAGATCCGTAAGATGAGCATAATTCCTTTTAAAGTCTGCAATCATGGGGTATATTCTCCACATCAAATCAGTAGTGTCAGTGAGAAAACTAGTTCACAGCTTAGAGTCTGGAGTGAGAGATACAGCTGACCTGAACCACATTTCTCATGTCTGAGATCAAGATAATAAGAGCTGTTACTTAGGCGCTGTTATTTGAGTATTTGTATTTGTGAAAATCCTTAACTTCTCCAATCTCATATACTTTACTCTTTGAGATATAAAAGGCCTCATTTATACTTCCACATCTTAACACATGGAGGATTACTTATTTTAAGTGGATATATATTAATACTTTAATGACTTGTGAAATCTCCTTTTACTCTTCGCTTCAATGCATATTTTAAAATCCAGCCGGTGGCAGTGGCTCATGCCTGTAATCCCAGCACTTTGGGAGGCCCAGACAGGCAGATTGCCTGAGATCAGGAGTTTGAGACCAGCCTGACCAACGTGGAGAAACCTCATTGCTGCTAAAAATACAAAATTAGCCGGGTGTGGTGGTGCATGCTGGTAATCCTGAGGCAGGAGAATCACTTGAACCTAGGAGATGGAGGTTGCAGTGAGCCGAGATCGTGCCATTGCACTCCAGCCTGGGCGACAGAGCAAGACTCTGTCTCAAATAATAATAATAATAATAATAATAATAATAATAATAATAATAATCTGTCTTGATGTATATACTGTGAACACTCTACCTTACCAAAGTATGGATCAACAACAAGAAGACCAGAGTGGAAGGCCATAAATGAGACACAAGAGATCTGGGCAAGGAGTAGTCCCTCAAACTGGCAAATCAAAATCAAGCAGGTGTGAGATCTCAGACTTAACAGAAAAAAAGCCAATGGACACAAAACTGTACTGACATGGTGTTACATGATACAGTGTGTTGCACCAAGTCCCCAAACAAAACCTCTGACAGCATGGAAGATATGATTTGCCACAGTATACGAAACTACCCGATTTCACACAGATGGGCCTGGCCACAGCAGTTTTCAAAAAGTTATCATTGCACACAGGCCAAACTCTTATACCACATCATGAGGCAAGTGCCCTGCGCTATGCACACCGGAGCCTGTTAGAAGTTAAGAGTTCAGTGAATGAATGGCTCCTATCTTTGAGATCATGACTTCATGTTCACTTAATTCAGTCTTCCTGGAGCCTAAAACTCTGGGTAAAATTTTAGTCATAATTCTGAATCATGAACTATATGAGTTTCTTCTTTACTCAATACATTCACGAGGAAATGGGAAAACCAATTCCAATATCCAAGTATCTCAAAGTAGAGTTGAACAGAGTAGCCAGGGGACATAGCAAAAGGTTTAATGGGAACCACAATGCATCCATATCTGCAGTGGCTTATCATGAGGTGACTTGCAGGTTCATCAGCCTCATGATTAAAAACATAAATGGAAATGAGTATACAGAGACACACACAAATATTATAGGTTGGAAAATTGAATTTAGAATGAAGCTTAAAAAGACCATTATTCATATCTCTCTCTTTTTTTTTTTTTTTTTGTATTTTTAGTAGAGACGGGGTTTCACTGTGTTAGCCAGGATGGTTAGCTCCTGACCTCGTGATCCACCTGCCTCAGCCTCCCAAAGTGCTGGGATTACAGGCATGAGCCACTGTGCCCGGTCTGTTACTCATGTTTCTAAAATAAAGGCAGGAATTATCAATATAAAGCTTTTTCTAAGTCTTTTTTGTTTTCTTCAACTTTTATTTTAGTTTCAGGAATACATGTGCAGGTTTGTTACCTGAATAAATTGCATGTCACTAGGGTCTGGTGTACAAATGATTTCATCACTAAAGTAGTTAGGTTAATACTCGATAAGTAGTTTAGCTTTTTGACCATCACTCTCCTCCCACCCTTCCTGTCAAGTAGGCCCTGGTGTCTATTGTTCCCATCTTTGTGCCGTGCGTTAAAAAGCTAACACTTCAAGGAAAGCGTCCAGTAGCTCTTTACAATTGTGTCTTCCTCCTTAATTGATTTTTTGAATGATAGTTTTTAAAAACTTCTTTGCACTTAAAACAGGAACACAGCCATGATGACTTAACACAGAGAAGTGGGCAGTCGCAGAGAAAACGAGTGTATTTCATTCATGCTGTAGTGCACACAGTCACGTCTTTTCACAGAAAGGCATCTTGAATCTGATAGTGTTGAAACGCTATTGGCCAGAAGAGAGTCATAGTGAGGTTGTCTTCATGTACACTGACATGAACTTGGTCTAAAAACCTCCCATTGATATCTTCAGGTGATATCATCATCATCAAAACTTGCAGAAGGGATGTCAGGAAGTTGGAAAGATAATCTCACAGAGAGTAGCATAGGAATCCCATCAGAAATGCAGCATCACCAGTGCTTTTGATTAGTACAGATGATAGTAATATGGGGTCAGTTATTGGCAAGATGGGTTTAAAAGTGATTCAGATAAGTTTTGCCTCAATGGGAGAAATTTTAGGAAAAAAAACTTTAATGTATTTTGCCTATGTTTCATCTTATGAAATCATAAGAATTACATCAGACAAATATCCACATGTATAGAAGTTGAAAATAGTTGAACTCTTTGAAAAGCTCAGTATATATATATGGGAGGATTAGGATCATTTGATAAAGATATACTAGATGTGAGCACCATCACAGCAAGAAGAATGCTCTTTTATGGGTACTTTCACCCATATTTTATGGGTGCTTTTGTTCTAAATTGGTAGATGGAATTTGTTTTCTCAGGTATGACAGCGGTTGGTCTTTGAACTCCCATAGTGTACACAGATAATTTCGTGACCAATTTTGGTAAAAAGAAGAAAAAGTACCCATCTATTTTATTACAGTGTGTCATCATTTGACTT